CATTTTGAGATGCCCCAGGGTAGGGGATTTTTCTCCAACAAGCCTATAGGAAGACTTTGCTAGTTTGACCAAGTTACGTTTCAGAAATGCTAAGTTTACCCAGCAAAGCTGAGTTCAGTAGCAGTTGAGTGGTTGTTAACGTTCCTTAAATTTAGTAGGGGATTTGACTGAAGAGAACGGCCCCAGAGGTAGTGATTTAATTAATTAATTAATTTGAAACCCCAACTATGCCCCATTATGACATGTACTGGGATAGTGGAGCTTGATATTGATAAGTACACGATAAATTTATTGTAAATGTCTGCTATTTTATATATTTATTTTTTATAGGCATTTTATACCTTCCCTTGTGAAAATCAACTTCAAAGATCTTGAATGATCTTGCTAGTCTAACTAAGAAAATGTATGATAAGGCAAAAAATTTTTCTTGCATAATCTTAGCAATGTTTGATAAAACAAGATCTTGTAAGATCCAACATCTTGAACAATCACACTTTATCTTAGCAATACAAGATCTTGTTTGATAATGCACAATATTACCCCACTTATTTTATTTATTTTGATAAAACATGATCTTGTATGATCTTACATCTTAAATAATCATACTTTATCTTAACAGTACAAGATCTTGTTTGATAATGTATGATTATTCTGGAATTATCTTATGTGACATTTATTTATTTTGATAAAACATGATCTTGTAAGATCTTATATCTTGAATAATCACACTTTATCTTAACTGTACAAGATTAGTTTGGGTCATACAAGATTTTGAAAGATCTTACAAATCATGTGATGTCACAGGAAGTAGTAGACAACCCACAATAGCCTTAACGGTAAATCCAGTATATAAAGAAAGCAAGTTTCAACCAAATTAAAACAAAGAAAATCAATAAGGCCACTCCAATAAGATTCCTTGTTTCCCATTACAGAGGCGGGGGTGATGCGGGCGGGCGGGTTCATTATTATTATTCATTATTAATAATAATAATTAATAATTTTTAAATCAATAATTTTTTATTATTCATTTTTAATGAATATTTAAACACTTGCAGTCTGCCAGTCTCAACTTATTGAGACTAAAATTACAAAATAGTAAAAGAAAGGTGCTAATAATTACAAAAAAGAAAAACAAGGCTAAACACTTGAAAATTAGGAGAGAAAAAGCACGACTCTTGGTGAAAGAGGCTGGGAAATAATCATTTAGGTACTGGAGGTTTACTGCTGCAATCACTACATTGAGGATACAAGTTTTCAGAAGTAAAAGGTTGATGTTTGCCACAATATACGCAAATTGGGGCATACTTTGCTGAATAATACAGCTTTTCTATGCGTATTCTTATGGCGGACACTCTTCTTTTGAACATCAGCAGTCTTTTTAAAGGAGGGCCTATGTTCTTCTGATGTCGTGATTCCAAATACCTCACTAAAAGGGAGATAATGTCCTTCATTGTCACTAGGTGTTGGGTGTGGAATGTGCCTAAGTTTCTTAAAAGTGTCCTCTAGAAGTCGAACTGGCTTGCAAATGTGGCATATACTGCTACCACACTTCAAAATATCGAATGAGTAGTGGTTAGCTTCACAACAATGCTGAACAAATGTAAGAGCATCTTTATATTCTGAAAAATTAGCTTTTATGTAGTGATTTTCTTCCTTTAAAGTACAATCAATAGCAAGAAGTGATGTCCAAAAATCACTAATATCATTTGTAGACGCAGAATCAAATGTGTGAATATAGTCATCGTGAAGCTTGAGACGATTAAAAATACTATGAAGTAGAGATTTTACAGGTGAAAGTGAGCTTGCAACAGCTGCTTCAAATCCACTGGTTTGTGATGCAATGGCTCTTAACTCTGATAACAAATTCGCTTTTGCTGCTTCTTTCTCAAACTCCTCAGTCATCTGCTCCCTTGCAAGTCCTACACACTGCAATCCTAAGTTTAAAATAGACATAATTCGCTCAACCGGATTTCTCCAACTGTGATAAGGTGCAGTGCGACAAGCACAAAGATAATCCAGGTCTAGCTTAATAAAGAGACATATTAAAGACAGCTGAACTAAGATGTATGTCAGGCGATGGTCTGGTCCACCGTCCGAGTATATAAATAATATAGGCTTTTTATGAGTTTCAGTCTTCAAAATAGTCTGATATAATTCCGTCATGTGGTGAATAGGAGAGGAAGGTTCAAACACTGAATCTTTAAGACCAACATACACTTTACCTGTAAAATATTGGAAAAATGAGATAATATCAAACTGAAAATACATGTGCTTACCATCATACCATGAACCACAAATTTCATCTGGAATCTTGATAATAAAAGTCACTGATAGAATAAGCCCAAACTTCGTAAAATCATGGTCTCCCACTACAAAATTTTCATCAGCACGCACTGCTACTCTCCTCCCCCTTTCTGCTGAGGCCACAGGAAACCCTGGCTCCCCTACCTTGACTTTATGTTTGCCATCGACACAAATAAGAGAGCAATGATCTCTCACAAGTAAAACATATTCACGCATATACCTACAATAAAAAAACAAAAGTGACATGTACTGCTACCAAAATAACACAAATTAATAATATTTTAGAAAGAAGAAAATTGATCAGCATAAAAATTGCTATGTTAAATCATGCAGTAAAACAAAGTGTGGTGGTAGCTTGGCAGGAAAACTTTAAAGGTTGAGCAAATGCTAAATCAACACTATTAACAAACCACAAATATTTTTCCAATTGAAAACAAGTGGCTTTGAGGACAAAAAGATGTAAGTAAAACGCATAATATACTTGTTGATATTCAGGAACACAAAATTACAAGTTGAGGAACACAAAATTACAACTTCATAAATAGCATGGCACTAGGCTTTTACAATAAATACATGCATATACTGAAAATTTTTAATATAAACAAAGTAAAATATAGCCACAGGAACAAATAGTGTATTACAAAATATTTTTAATGTAAAATTAAGAGACCTCTCACCGAAATAATGCTGCAGCATAATGTGAATCTTCATGCTCTTTCCTCCATTGATGCTGCTGAATCATAAACTTCAGGGCAAATTTACCTGTGTGATGTAATGACATATGTGTCAGTGTTTTGGGCCAAAACTGGAGCCTGCACCACTCATGTGAGGGTATTAAAGTTCCTTCTGGACATCGAGCTTTTACCTGTTCTATTAAATCTCTAATTGAAATGGCACGAGCCAAATGAGTAACACTGCCATGTCTTCTTTCATCTACTGCAATACCAACATCTTCACTTAAATAATTCTGACACTCAGACCAAAATGCATCGTACTGGGATTCTTGA